TGGGAGTTATTCCGAAGCATTTATTAATATTCGAAGAAAAATATCGTTCTCGTCCTTTTAGTCTCCATTTTACTAATTTAGGATTGTGCGGATTTACTAAATTTCATTTGAATATTGTTATTGTCGTGGTTGGAGCTTCTCGAACTGCATTATCATTTTTACAAAATTTAATTTTTGGGTATTAATTTTACAAAATATAAAGAAATGTGTAATTTAGATTTTACTTTTGAAATCTGTTAGGAAGGAACCATTCAATTCAACATTTCATTTAAAAATATTTTTAAACAAAAAAAAAAAAACTTACGATATATTTACTTTATAGAGTGTGAGAAATAACGTAAAGCCTTATTATTAAAAAAAAAAAAAAAAAGTTAGGTAAAAAAACGTTTTTCAGGTCTTCAAGTTCTTACATTATCTACAACAATTTAATTTGTGTAACTCCACACGGTTATGATTTTATTGATGGCACCGAGGAAGATGTTAAAAGTCTTTTGTTTCCAATCAGGGATAACACTGGTAAAAAACATGAATCTATGCTTTCATTACAAATATATGTCAACTTCATTTACGGTCTCATGACTAAAATAAATCGGTAAGTAAACCGTCAACTGAAAACAATCTTCATTTGATCATAAAATTTTTTTTTCCTTTACATTAGATCGGAAAAGTATATAGTTGTTAATAATGAAGTTACCGTTAAGTATGATTATTTAATTTTAACATGCGGTCTTCAATATTCACCACCCATGCCACAAGCGATGGAATCATCTAAAGATCAATGTCGTAAATTTCATAAAAGGTAAGCAAAAAAATCATCAAGTCAGATTTAAAATCCGTTGTTACTTATTTCTAATTACTGGTTTTTTTTTTTTTATTTATCAGTTCTTTAGCCCGATTTTTATTTCGAGTAGAACCTAAAATAAAAAATGAACCAAAAAGTCCTTTGAACCTTTTCATAATAAATAGTGTTACCGATGCCAAAACCTCTCTTCATTCTTTAAAATCATTAATGGAACAACTTAATACAAGTACGTATAATTATTACTGTAATTTATATAAATTAAAAAAGCAATTTTAACAGAGTATTGCATTTAAAAAAAAAAAATTATTATAGGTTAAAAATTTTAATGTTGCAGACGTAGAACAAAAAATTGTTGTTTACGGACATAACTTGCATGTTTTCCTACTTATAAATGCTTTAATTAAACTTGGCGTACCTGGAGAAATTATTGTTTTTGTTGAACCATTTCCGCCAAAGGAATCGAAAGTAACAGTTTTCAATGATAGTAATGTGAGTATTATTATTGTTTTATTACGATTTAGATTTAAATAATTACGTTTTACTTTTACATTAAAATTAATATTAAATTTTGATTTTTCATTTTCATTTGTTTTGTAGGTAGATGAAAAAGTTTTAGATTCGGTTAAAAAATTAAAAGTACATTATTATCAAAAATATTTTTTACACGATTGGTCCATTTCGTCAGAATATATAACTTCAATTACTTTTCGATCGAATTATAAAGAAGTGACTTTTCAATGTCTTGCTTTTTTTCCATTTGTTCAAAAACTTGTCTCAGAAATAACTTTTAATGGTACGTTAAAAAAAATTTTTTTTTTTTTTTTTTTAAGAAGAAAATCAAAATGAAAATTTTTATTCGATTAAAACGTAAAAAATAAAAATATTTACAGCTTGCTCAGAGGCTGGACTCGTGTATGATGGCAGGCTTATAATAAATAATAGATTTAAAACTAACGACGATTATATTTATGCGGCTGGACCATTCACAAAATATTCACGACGATATTATGCCTACCAACAAGATCATCTTCATTATAATTCTTCGGAAATTGGCGAAAAGGTACTTACTACGAGTAATTTTTATTTTGAAAATTTTTCTTTTAAATTAAATGCAATTTGTAATTTCAATATGTCACGTTCTGACTGTTTCAGTTAGCTAAAATTCTTAAAAATAAAATTGATCCTACGATAGAAGAAAAATTTCATCTTCCAAAGGATACACTATTAGAAATGAAATCACCCCTGATAATTTATTGTCAATTACCTGGTGACCTTTATTTTTTTACAATAAAAAAACCCGGAAAAGAAATAGATCGCGAAACAGCATGCAATTTTATGGATTACGTAAATATAACAAAAAAAAAAATTAATAGTTTTTTTTGGTTTTGAAGTTTTAAAATAAAAAAAAATTTTTTTACCCGACCAGGGAGAGGTTTTAATAACAGGATTACCTAAAATGGAAAATGGATATTTTCGTTTACATCTTGATCCTCAAGGTTTTGTCGTATCACTTACGTGCTTAAGTAAAAATGTTTGTCAAAGATTTTATATATATATATATATATATATTATTAAAAATGAAAATGATTCCTTTTTTCAAAGTATTTATTTTCTCACCGAAAATGTATTTTTAGGAAATCGACTACGTTAATTTAAGTTCGGTATTGGGATTACACGAAAAACTTTTAAATAATTTATTGCTTCGATACGATTTGGGTCTTATACCGGATTTATTTGAATATTTTCGTGAACCCTGGACTCAAGCTATTTTTCACGAAAAATTTCCTCTCCTCAGTCAACAAAATCACAAAGCTTTTGATAAAAACATAAATGAATCCGTGGAGGTTAATTTTGTTGAAAGCATAATTCAAAAGCTAATACGGAATCGTTGGCAGGCAGTAAGTCGAAATAAATGAAAGTTCGAAATGTAAAAAATAAAAAACTATATAATAGATATTTTCTAGCTTCCAGAATCATTGAAACGTAAAATTGAATCAGAGTTTATTGATTCTTCAATTGAAAAAGAAATTAAAGACAATCTATTAGGATTTTTAGAATTTTACAAGGGAGATTTTTCCAAATATGCAATTCCAAGCACTTTAAGTAAATTACTTTACGATTAAGTAATTATATTTACAACGGAGAACAAAATGAAAGGAAATCCTGTGATTATTATTGGAAAAATATTGAAAAATAACCATAACGTTTATTTATGTATAAATGGGGATTTAAATTAAAGTTTACAACAACAACAAAAAAATTTAAATTATTTGTTAAAAATTTTTTAATTTAAATTTGTTTCTCACTTTACGCGTATTATATACAGAACTCTTAACTTAACTTTTTCTAGAAGGCTATTATATTTTTTTTTCAATGTAAATATTTACTGTGCTCTGCTTTGTTTAAATTTTGATACTTTTATACAATTATTAATAATAAAAAAAAAAGTATAGATTAATTTATGTATACATAAATTAATCGTTATTCTTAAAATTTTTTTTTAAAAGTAAAATTATTTCAATATTTAAGTGAGAAAACAAAAAAAAAAAAAAAGTTATAGTTTTTATATACAAAAGATAAGTAAACATTTTATATAAACTTATTTGCAAAATAATAGTTTTATTATTAAATTTACTGCTTAAATTATTTTAAATTGTAAACTTTAATGTAACAAAGTACATTTTTTTATGTGCGAAACAAATTTGAATTGTTTGTCAACGTGTTTAACTTTATTTACCTCATAATAAAATGATTAGAAGACGGTTTGGTAGTAAAAATATTGACGACCTGCTAGTTAATAAAAGACATCAAAAATGTGTACCTAAAAATTTAAATCGTTTCAAGGCTCCGTTAGTATCAGGTGATTTTCCATCGAGGGTTTCTCTAATCGAAGAAAAAAGTTCAATAAAAGAAGAAGAAAGCTTTAATATATCTGTTAAATCAGAAGTAAAAATTTTTTTATTTTAATTTCAATTAAATTGTAAATTTAAAGAGTTTTATTAGCTTTTTTCGCTTTTGTTATAGGAAAAATATTTAGGAAAACCTCCTATCACTTATTGGAGAAGAGCCGAAAGTAGTGATGTTGATGCCGTTTGTAAACTAGTAGAAAAATCTCATGGTTTTGTGAAAGAATTATTCACAGAACCCGATGTACCGGATTTAATGTCAGGAAAATATTTTTTTTTTTTTTGTTTTCCCATGAAGTTTAAACTTATATATATTTAAATCAATGTAATTTATAATTTTTACATTTAACAATAAAAAAAAATATAATTTTTTTCAGTGAAAAATCAACTATCTCAATAATTCTTTTCAATAGCGAACAACAATTAATATCATTTACGAGCGTATTTGCTTATCCAAATATACCGGCAGTACCTTCATTTGAATGGTATCAATGGTTTGATAATGCTTATAGGTACTAAAATCAATCGCGTTTACATTAACATGGATAAAAAAAAAATTAAAAAATTTTTTTTTTTGTTTTTTTTTTTTAGAATAACGGGCTCTAATCCGAGAAATACATTGTTTATACATTACATTGGTTGGGAAAGTAATTATTATTCCGACTTTTTGCGTTTAACATTGGAAACGTTATTTTTAGAATTTAACTTTTTGAGTCATTTAATAATTATTAAACCTCCGAAGGTGAAAATACGTTAGTATACCTTTTTCACGTAATCATTTACTTATTTAATTTTTTATTATTATTATTTTTATTAAAAAGAAGAACTAAATCAAATTTATTTTGTTGCAATTTAATTATAATTGTATTTAAATTCATTATTGGTTTTCAGCAAGCATTATTGCTGATAATTTCATTCAAGCTTTACCGAAAGATGCTCAAATGTTCGCTTGTGATTTGTCATCTATACAAACTGTCTTGTTATGTTTGAAATACTCCATCATGGAACACTTGAAAATTCGTTTAGCTATGTAAGTAAGCTTTCATTCATTTAAAAACAAAAAAAAAAAAAAATTTTTTTTCAAGGAAAATTTAAGTCGACTAATTGAAATTTAAATAATAGGGTAGAAGATCATGATGATTTGATGCCAATAGTAGATCAGCATACCGAAAGGCTAAAACAATTATACGGAGATTATTGCATAGCTGAAATAATTGAGTATCCAGGAACAAACGATCGGAAAACTTTAGTTTGTGAAGTAAGTAGTACCTTGATGAAAAACAAAAATAAGTATTTTTATCAAACGTATGAAACTTTTAAATGGTTTTTACATGATTGTAAATTTTGTTAAAATTACTATTCGAATTGTTTTACTGTTAATTGCATTGCACATGCATTTGATAACATCAAACATTTTTTATTTTGCTTTTAGTCAATGGGATATGCTATAGGATTTATGAATATTAATAGAGCAATAGATTTTGAACTTTTGAACACTCAATTTGATTTAGGTGGATTTCACGGTTTAAGAAAACCAACCGAAGAAGATACTAAGCCCTCAGACATTAACTTGGACGATGAAGATAAACCGATACGTCTTCCTAGTAAAGTGAATCCAACTATGGACGTGTAAGAATTTTAAAAAAAAAAAAAAAAATACAAAATCAATATTAAACTATAATAACTATAACTATATTACGATAACTGCATATAAATATTATAAGGTTTAAAAACCGTAATAAGCTTAAAAAAAATTTTAAAATTTCAGAATAAGCAGTAAAGACATGTTAAGATTTTTAAACTGGCAACCAACTCTTTGTGCATCGGAAGAAGATTTATCTTCCAATGGTGAAAATGAACGATTAAAACGATACAACGAATTAACAAGATCAATGTCCGAACTTCTTCACGAGACTTTAAATTTAAAATTGGCTCCTAAATTTACCGCACATGCCCTGGGTTCGAAATTCGTTGGAAAAAAAGAAAAATCAAAAAAATCATTTTCTAAAAAAGCAGATTTATATGCAGGTATTTCTTATGAAATTTTTTTAACCCAAAAAAAAAAAAACGGATGGTATTAATTTTATTTTTTTTATTTTAAACAGATGATAAATGGGTTAGTGCTGACGAAACTTCTGTAACCGCCGAACAATCTCTAATTTCTCTTCAGTACTACAATTTACCCGTTTATCACGGTTCTCCCAATGCGTTTTGTGTTGAATTTTTTGCCGTCCACCATAATTTTGATGAGAGACTTTGTTTAGGATTTATTGAAGCTGCTTTTGAAGTGTTCCAAGATTTAGATTACTGTATATTTACAATACCATCACAGTCTCCGACTTTTCCACTATTAGATTTATTTACCGTACACTTTATTTTCATACTAGATTAAAAACCTTAAAAAAAAAAAAAAATCTTTTGTAATTTTTTTTCTTCAACGTTTAAAAATATTAATCGCGTACATTGAAATTTTTTTTTAATCTTTTACAGAGAGTTACTCCTAGACCTTTGAAAAGATTTAAACAAGAATTATACGTTTGTCATAGAAGTTCCATCATGATTACTTTTATGAGAGTTAGACGGGTTAACAAATCGGATCTGGATGAAATTGCAAATTTACTTAATGGTATCAAAAATAAGGATTTTATTTATGCGGATATAGCAAGTAGTTGTTTTTACACTGACAGTGCTTACCAAGCATTTGTACTCGTTTGTTTTAAATCCATAGTCGGTGTTGCTGTAGTATGGTTTGTAAAAATTTATATTTAATTTTTTTTAAATGTTGAAATCCAAAATGAAAATAATTAACATTATTTTAATTTAGTAATGAAAATAAAATGGAATATCTTCTACATCACTATCGAATAAGCGATTTATTAGACTTTGACATGCACAAAATTGATTACCACGCTATATTAAAGCATTTAATTTTAAGCCCTATTTATCAAGCCCACGGTCGTTTTTTCCTGAGGGATATTATGAGAATGGCCGATACGACTGCTTTATACAGAACCCGTTACGAAGAAGCAGAGGTTAAAAATAATTATTGCCATTGAAATTATCAACTGCATTATTAAGACCTTGTGAATTTTAATATTATTTATACTTAGGGCAATTGGAGTTCGTCAATAATAAACGTATTGGGTCAACTGGTACCGGTCAAACCTAAAAGAACTGTTAGTAAATTTCAAATTAAAAAAAAAAAAAAAATTGATTTTATAAAAATAATTTAATGGAGTTTAAAATATTTAAATTAATTAAGAATTGAAAAATCACATTTGAATTAAAATTTAAATTATTTTTTTTTTAGATAAAGTTTCACGTGCCATCTTTAGGAACAAATGTTCCTCCTCCGCATTTTCTTATCGAAGAAGAACCATTTTCTTTATATCATATAAATTCGAGAATATGTGGAGTAAAAAAATTTAGCTGCAATATAAACGTTGTCGTGGTGGGAGCTTCAAGAACCGCATTCGCTTTTTTAGAATACGTTTTTTTTTCGTGGGTATTTTTAAATATCAACTTTTTATCTCTCATAAAATTTCATTTTTCGTTTTATTAATTTAAAAAAAAAAAAAAATTTCTTCTTATCAGGCCTTCTGCAACTTATGTCACTTATAATAATTTCACTTTGGTAGATCCTCATGGACTAAGTACAGATTTACCAACTCATCCAGCAAGAGATTGTATTTTTCCTTTCCGCGGAAAATTTAGTCGTTATTACAAAATACAAATATGTTTGAAAGCTTATGTTAATTACGTTTACGGTATTATGACGTCAATTAATAGGTAAACAAATAGTTCTGCAAAAATTTTTTAAAATTTGATATTGAATTGCAAAAAAAAAATTTGACTTTTCAGAGTAGAGAAATATATAACCATTAATAATGATTTAACTTTACCTTATGATTACCTGATACTATTGTGTGGAAGACAGTATGTTATGCCCGTACCATTTTCAACAGTTTCTGAATTTAAAGAATGTCGCAGAAGATTTAGACCAAGATGGTAATTTTTTTTTTTGATTTTTACAAGTTTTTTTTTTTAATAGTTTCCATTAGTTTGTGATTTTATTTTATTTTATATTTATTGAACACATTCATTTATATGTATCAATATTTATTATATTTCTATTGTTAAAATTTCATAAAAATTTTTTTTTTTTTTTCTAGCACTCTATTTAAGTATTTAACAAATTTGCAGAGCAAAGAAAAAGAATTTGAAACTCCTTATCCATCGAATGTGTTTATAATTAATTCTTTAGTGGATGCCACAAATGTTTTTATTTCACTACAATATTTAATTCATAAAAGAAAAGGATGTAAGTTAGTGTGTGTTTAATTTTTTTTTGTGAAATAAATAATTGAATTATTTTTTCTTAATTTTTTTTTTTCAGTTGATACACAAGAAAAAATAATAATCTATGGATATCACATCCGTACATTTTTAACAGTTCAAGCTTTGTTGAAATATGGTTTCCCACCAGAAATGATTGTTGTTGTGGAACCTTTTCCAAACGGTTGTCATTATGTTTCCTGTTTCAAGGATACTAATGTAAAAAAATATTTTAGAAAATTTAGTTTAAAGTTTTTTAACCTTAAAAATAATGATAATCAATTTTTTTTTTTTTTTATTAGATTGACGAAGCTGTTATTAATACCCTGAAAGATTTAAAAATTGATCACTATCAGGGATACATATTACACGATTGGAATTTTTGCGATAATAATCAAATTCAATCGGCTACATTTCATGCAGAAAAACGTAGAGTTACAATTCAATGCCTGGCAATGATTCCTTACGTTGACAAAGTCGTTTCTTTGGTCACTTTTAAAGGTGTTAATTTTTTTTTTTTTTTAACAATAGTAAAATAATCCTAAGTTAATTAGAAAATCAATAAAAAAAAGAAAGGGCTGTGCATATATATATGCATATAACGCAAATTTGTTTTTTTTTTTTTTTTTAAGCAATTAATGAAGCTTCTTTAGTTTACGATGGAAAACTTGTTATAAATAGCTCATTTCAAACTAATGATGAATACATATATGCAGCTGGTGGTTTGACTAAATACAAAAGAAAATATTATGCCACTGATCGAAATCATAAATACTACAATGCCAACGAAGTTGGAAGACTTGTAAATATTAATAACAATGTTTAATTTTTTTTTAATTAGTATTTATATTGAATCATTGATAATCGCTTATTATGCAATAAGATTTTACGCAGTAATGATTTTATTGCAGTTAGCCGAAATTATCAGGAAAAAAATTGATCCGACAATGGAAGATACGGAAAATGAAAAACCTTCCGAATTAGTACCGGATATGAAGGAACCATTAATTTTTTACGGTTCCTTACCTGGAGATTGGAATTTTTTACATATAAAAAGACCTGGAAAAAATAAAGAAATAGACACTAATACAACAATTCAACAAATTGTACGGCCATCAAAAAATTTTTTTTTTCATCATAGGCATCGAATGAAAGTTATGTAGAATTATTGACACGTTCATAATTTTTTTAGGGAGATATATTAATAACCGGAGATTGTAAAATGAGTAACGGAAATGGATATTTTAAATTGACATTAGATGATTTCGGTTTCGTCATGGATATTATGTGTTATACAAAAGAAGTAATTAAATTAACAAAAAAAAAAAAATAATAATAATTCGATTGGTTAAATTTAATATTTTTTTTTTTTTTTGTAAAAATTTTAAATTTAATATTATTATTATTAGGAAATTGACGTCATCAATTTGGAAAGGTTGTTTGGAAAACACGAAAAACTTCTTAATGATTTATTAGTTAGATTCGATTTAGGAATGATAAATGATTTTTATTCATATTTTCGAGAACCTTGGACTTATGCAATATATCATGACGAATTTAAATTTGTTCAAAGTGATAATTATAAATTACTTGAAGAAGAAGTACCTCCTGAAAATTCAGAAAAAATTGTCGATATGGTTATGAAAACTCTTAAAGCTAGTAATTGGCAAAGGGTGAGTTGTTTATAATTTTTTATTTTTTTATTTTAAATTCAATTTATTAAAAAAAAAAAATTGTTTACTTTTCAGCCTCGTAATGAAAGCATAAGAGAAATTAAGGCACATTTTAATCAATCTAATGTTAAACAGCGAATAATTGACAACATATTAGATTTTCTTTATTATTACGAAGAACCTTTTCCGATGTACGCCACGCCAAAAATTCTTCAAGCTCTTCTACGTGATTCAAATTCTTCCGTACTTCATAAACTTCCTCCTCATGAAGGTTCGACAAAATCCTCAATTAGAATTTCCGATATGGTTCACCGATATTAAAATCAATTATAAATAATGATTTTCTTTGCCGGAATAAAAAAAAAAAAAAAAACTTCTTTTTGTATATTTAAATAAAATGGCGGTAACGAAAAAAATGGTAACGAATAAAAAAATTAATATTTATTTAAGTTAAATATAATACATTTAAGCAGGAAATTATAAAAACTGAAAATAAATAATTCTGATAAATACTATCCAATTATTATTTTTTTTTTTTTTTTTTTTAAAACGTATTCTACTTTCTATAATATTAATATATTTAAAAAAATTTTTATTTTAAATGAAAATAAGCGTTAAAAAAAAAAAAAAAAGAATACTTTAAAAACCAGAATATAAATTGTTCTACTTTTAACATTTGATGATCTAACTTAAATATTAATATCATTATTGGTATCATCATATTGTATTTATTTAAACTTAAGTTTATGTACACAAACATTTATGTATCATTATTAATAATTTATCAATCGTTTATTCTTTGTTAATAATATAGGAACAGTAAAACATTGCAGAATGTTAAAAAATGTGTTTTTGATATTATCAATAATACACGTTTCTTATTTAAAAAATTTAATAGACTTAGAAATGTGTAAATTAACTCACGAAGGTACAGAATATATTGGAAAAATATCTAAAACTGAAACAAATATTAGTTGTTTATTTTGGAATTCTGATTCTATCGATGCCGAGGTATTTAAATTAATATCAAAATACATATTTGAAATCACAATGTTATGTTTATTAAAATAATTTTTTTTATTTATTTTAGAGTTCTAAGGATATATTAAATGAAGCATTTCCGGATGGATCAAAAATTATGGCAAAAAATTATTGCAGAAATCCAACAAAAAATCCTAAAGGCCCTTGGTGTTATACGGCTAAAAAAAATTTAATATACGATACGTGTGATATACCGATTTGTAAAAATTTCGGTAATGAGACAAAAAAAAAATAAAAATAAATTTTAAAAAAAAAAATTTTTTAATTGCGTAATGATGAATTATTTATTTAAATTTAGAATGTCGGATTAGTGGTACCGGTATTGAATATTCTGGATTAATTGACAATTCCGCGTCTGGAAAAAAATGCACAGAATGGAAAAGTAAACGTAAACTCAAGAATCAAAATGAAGAAATTTTTTTAAAAAATAATCTTTTCCCAGATGGTATTTATCATTTTGTGTTATTTAAATTTGAAATTGATAAACATCATTATTTTTTTTTTCATTAAAAACTCATGTTTTTTTTTTTTAAAAAGAATCAATCAAAACTGCTGGAAAAAGATGTAGGAATCCAAATGGTGATGTTGGAGGTCCTTGGTGTTACGTAGAAAATGATGAAAATGAATTGCAAGAAAAAGAATTTTGTGACATTCCATTTTGTGATGACATAGGTATTTTAAATAAAAATTAATAATTATATTGAACGTAAAAAAAAAAAAAATTTAAATTAAAACTTTTAGAACCCGTCATGTATTCAGAAGGTTCTTTCTCGGGGCAATATTACTTCTTTTCTAGTTTAAACGATTCACAATTTTTAAATATTAGCGTACGTCTTTGGAATCCTTCTGATTGGTTGCAAGGGCAAATTTTTTTGTATTTGAGTGCATTCGATGTTGCCCTTGATAGGCAAAATATAGATGACTGGAAATCAGGGATTGAAATTCTTATCGGTCACACAGGATCTGGAATTATAGTTCAGGTAATTATTTTTTTTTTTTTTTTTATATTTTTAAAATTTAAGTAATTTAATAATAATAATAATAATATTTTTTTAAGGAAGAAGATAACGAATTAAAAAAAACACCCTTGATTCTTTCCGGAGCTCATTGGACAGATTTATACATAAATTGGATGAATCCTGATAATTATAGTATTATTGTTCAAGTTTTTATAAACAGTAAAAGTAAGCCATTGGCAATTGCTGAAATTCTAACAGCAGGAACAATTTTTGAATTCGAAACATTTCGTTTCTTTAGTTTGGCAGGTTCACCGTCTTTGTGGAACTTGGAAGCAGATGATGGTAAACTAAACTAATTAATAAAAAATGAAATAATTTTTTTAAAAATAAAATATTTTAATAATTAAATTAATTTTATTCAGATTGTTCCATACAAACTGTAACTCAAATGAATTTTACTCGGTTTTGGTTAATGAAAAAAACTTCATTGGGAATCGATGCAGACATTTTTGTTCGAGCAGAACATGAAACTGTTATAACATTAAGATCAGTTCCAATGATAAAATTAAAACAAGTACAGGTACTGCCACACTTATTCGCCATTATCAATTTAAAAAAATTAAATAATGATGAAATTTATTTTATATATAAGATTTTATCAGAAATAATTTAATTTTAGATAACGCTCAAAAAGAAACAAATACAAATTTCAACTTTTAATTTAAAAAATGAGACGGAAATAATAAAGAAATCATTTTTGCCTAATTTCTTATTAAATTTTTGGAAATGGCAAAATTTTAAAATTTCGTAAGTTATTGTAAATGAAAAAAAATTGAATTGAAAGACATTTGAAAATTTAAATAAAATAATTTTAGTTTAGTAAGAGAAAAGTTACAGTTTTTTTGGGTACGAGAAGCAAATACACAACTTGTTATTGAAGTAATGCATTCGAATATAGCTGAAATGTTGTGGATAACGTTGGGTACTTCGAAAATTTTATATTGGACTCTATACTGTGATCCCAACGGTATTTAATTATTTACCATAATTAATTTTTTAATATAAATATCGTCTTTATAATATTAATTTAACCGCATTACACGTTATTAATTATAAAATCAATTTTTTTTTTCTTTTTAATTATTTAGGAAACGGGAATCCCCCTTTGCCTTCCCCTCCGGAATGTATATTTCAACCGTTCGATTTATTTAATGGAACTTTAAGTGTGACAAAAGAAGGTGAACAATGCATTCCCTGGCTGGATCAAATGTTAATTCCAGATGAATACAAAAATGTTGGTTTAAAATTTTATAGTTTTTTATAATTTAATCTGTTAGCCCTAATATATTGTTTTTTAATTTAAAAAAAAATTTTATTTTCAGGAAGAATTATTTTATCCTTACGGAGGGAAATTAGCATGTGAAAATTATTGTAGAAATCTTGACAGAGATCCTCAAGGACCATTTTGTTTTATAAAAGATCCTACGAATAATTTAGAAGTTGAAAAATCTTATTGTGAGCCCAGACCGTGTAGAGTTGAAGGTACAATTTTAACATACATCAATTTCACGAAAAATTTGATAATGGTTTAATAACAGTAAATTTTTCATTAAAACTTGTAAATATTAATACTAATACATTTTATGCTCTTTATTTACAGATTGTAAAGTAGCAGGAACAGGAAATGATTATTTGGGAAAACTTAATATAACAAGATCTAAACGTCATTGTATGCCGTGGACACAAGTGAAGAATAATGAAGTAAATGTTAGCAATTTCCCTGATCCTTCAATGGAAGATGCTACCAATTATTGTAGAAATCCTACAAAAAGTATTACTGGATGTTGGTGTTATACGAATGACTCAAACGTACCTACAGACTCGTGCTTGATAAGGGATTGTGATAAACCCTGTAAATTAGTGAACTTTTTTTAGTTTTTACATAAAGAATTTTTTTTTTTTTTTATGTTAATAATTTGCGTAATGTTTTTGATTTTTATTTCAGTAGAATGCATTATTTTACTCACGAAATTTTTAAAAGGAAACAGAATGTTTATATTGCCCGCCTGGCGAAAATCGGGATTAAAATTTTGGGTTAAAGCTTGGAATCCTGATATATATGAAGGAATAGTTTTTTCCATTACGTCAAAAGATGAATTAAAAGAATACGTGCTAATAATAGGAGATGAATTAAATGAAAAATTAAAATTATATTTCAAATATGGAGACTTGGGTAATTTTTTCATTTTTTTTTTTTTTGTAAATTAAATATGAGAAAAAAATTAAATAAATTTTTTTTTTTGTTTACAGAAGTTTTATTAGAGCAAAAAACATTACCTCATTTGGTTCCTTCGGGAAGATGGGCTGGATATTGGCTTCGATCGGGTTTGGGTAGGATAGAGTTAGGATACGAAGGTGTATCACTTCCTTTTTTCGAGTGGTCCACAGAAAATGAGGAAATTATTATCGAGCCTTTTTTCATTAATTTTGGTACGATTCAAGACTATTGGATTGGTATTAATTTTGAATGCACTGGTCAGTAGCAAAAATATTTTATTATTATTTTTTTTTTGAATTTTAACGCTTTTAAAAATAAATTTTATCATTTATATATAGAATGTTTATTGGAACATAGTACAATAAATAAAGAAAATAAAATATATCCCGTTAACTTATGGAAAGAAGATAAAAGAAGTGCTAATTTGCAATTAAACGTCAGGGGTTGGGGATCCGTTTTAATCACTTTAATGTGGACTCCCGGTAAAAAAAAAAAAAAAATTTTTCCAAAAAAAATTAATTTTTATTCATTTCGATTTGTTTAAAAATTAATGTAAACGTGTTTTAGATATAAAAAGAAGTTTTGCCGTTAAAGTAGATGCAGTTTCTGAAAATATTTTTATTTTAAAATATTTAGATTCTGTAAATTATGTCGTATTAGCTACATATCCGGTAGTAAATCCGTTCTTAGAAAATGAATGGACGGTACTTAGTTTTTGGTAAAAAAATTAATTTTTAACGTTACATAAGATAAAAATTTAATTATATAATTAAAAGATTAAAATTTTTTAGCAATACAGAAGATAGTTTGACCATATACAAAAACAACGAACACGTGTTTACCTGGCCCAGCACGTTTCCTCTTTTATTTTACTGGTTTTCTATCACAACACAAGAAGGCAGCATAATATGGTCGGCTAATTGTGCGCCTGCTGGTAACATGAAGCACATTTTTTTTTTTTAAATTAAATATTATGATAAAATTAAAAATTTTTTAATTTTTGCTTTTAAGACGTGGAAGGAGGAATTCGAGATGGTAATTGGGGAGATTGGGGACCTTGGAGTTGTAGCGTGACATGTGGTAGAGGAATAGGAAAAACTGAACGTAAATGTAATAATCCGCCGCCTAATATATTTGGCAAAGAATGCAATGGATTATCCGTTTACGAAGGACCTTGTAATGATTTTCCATGCGGAGAAATATCTCCAAGTAACGAATAATAATTTTTATAGACGTAGAAAACTTAAAAAACCCTACTGCAATTATTCTCAATAAAATATTTATAATTTTATTTAGGTACCCAAAATATTATTCGGGAGTACTTATCGTCTCAGTTTCGATCTATTCAAGTTGAAAATAAAGAAAGGGTGGTTTTATCTTGCAATCCTTCTGCACTATCCATATTGGTTACGGAAATACCTAATTTAAATATAACTTGGACTCACAATGGATTAAAAATTAGCAAGTTAAAATATCATATTGATGAAAATTTCAATTTGAGTGATTATCATCATTTAAAAGATGTCGTACAAACAAAAAAATTATAGAATTTTAATATTTTTTTTTAAAATCTATGATTTACTTTTAGTTATAACACACGCACAAGACAAACATAATGGAATATATTTATGTATGATAAATCAAAATCCAAAGAGCTCTCCTACAAAAATTGTTTTAGATGTCGCGTCTTTGATCGTGATCAAAAATAAACCGACAAAAAAAATAAGAATGGGAAGAAACACTTTATTGAAATGTAACGGACTCGCTTTAACTTACGTTTATGCAGATTTATCACAAAAATGGGAATTGAATGGAACTCTCTGGAAGGATTACGGTATAGGCGGACTAGAAATGGTAATAAATAATAATACAAAAAAAAGATTATAAATATTTTTCTTTAATAAATAAATAAATAAATAATTAATTAAATTTCTATATTTAGATTACAATTGAAAAATTGGAGAACATAAATGATTCTCATGCAGGTATTTGGACTTGCGTTATCACTCAAGAAGACCTTAAATTTAAATGGGTGTCAAATTGGATTAATTTAAAAGGTTTCATTCATAATAATAATAATAATAATAATAATAATATTTTTATTATAAATTTAATATTTAATGGAAAATTTCATTTATTTCAGTTAATTCAGCACCAAGTTTTTGGTCACATCTAATGGAAGACGTGGCAACAGCGCCAATTTTCGGCAAAATGGGTAGCGAAAGAAATACAATATTATTATTTTTTTTCCTTATAGCTCTTTTCTTTGCCATTCTCATAACAGTAACAGCAGTTTTCGTTAAATTATTATTTAAAAAATAAATAAAATCTCAAAAGTTGGAAAAAAAAAAATAGATTCAGTAAATTTAATAACATTTTATAAAAAAAAACACATTTTATTAATGTTTTTTTTTTTTAATTGTAGTTAACTAAAACTGAAGGATTTTATTAATTTTTTTTAGGTAAGTAAAGCATTTTTTTTTTTTTTTTAATTAAATGGCATTTTTTCATTGCACTTTTTTTTTATTGTATTTTTTAGAATGGAGTTTTTATATACAAAAAATGTGTATTTTTAAATGACTGCAAACTTAAAAAATGTTATTTTTTGTCATAATTTTCCGTATCTGAAACGATATTTTTCTTGAGAACCGCCCGAACAGTATTCATTGTAAATAAGTTTAAATAAGAATAAGTGAAAAATTAAAATCAACGTGGAAACGGATATCCAGAAAAATGTCGGAAGACCTCCCAAATGGTGGCCATGTTGATGTAAAGCGATTAAATGATGTTCGTGTGCGGGAGCTTCGGCAATTTCAAGGACGTGAATGGCGTGCCTTAAATCTTCCATGTGCTGTTTATCATACGATATGTATAATATCGAACTTAACGGATTAGTAAGTTTTACTGGAAATGTTTTTTTTTGCTGACCTATTTGCATTATATTTTGACACCCGGCGTCACATGCATAATAATTTCTCTCACTTCTATCCAAAGCAACTTCAATAACAGTTTTAAGGTCTTCTTTTAGTATAACACTTATATTTATATGAGTATAATTTCCATAACTAATATGTCTAAATAAATATTCTCTGTGTAAATATTTAGGATGTACATTAAATTCAAGATGTTGATTACTAAATCTAAGCGTTCCAAAACTAAGAACCATTGCTTGAACAACTCCATGAGCTCCCATTTTTAACATGTTGTGACATCCATGTTTTTCTAACGTCAACAACCAATATTTGACCCTTTGATTGACATCTTCAATTGTCATCAAATCTCCCCATAAGTTTTTCGCTTCTAAGGTATGATAATCGCTATAACATCCTTCGGCATAAAAAACTTTATTCCCCATGTCTATCAATTCTTTATTATCCATTTTAGTGCTAACCTAAAAATGAATTTATTTTATTAAAAAAATAAATAAATAAAATTTTTAGACAAGCAGAAGCAAAGGTATTTACTTGTGAAAGGACATAATACATGGTTGCATTGATTTTATCTCCATTCAATGCATCTTTTGCTTTAGATGTGCCAATAGTGAAGCCTGTACTCCAAAGTTCTTGCCACACTTTGGCATGATTTTCTTTAAGATGTTCAGAATCTTCTAGAATCACTCTTTTTAAAGTATCAATCACATTTTTTTCAATTTCAGTCTTTTTAGATGTTAACAATGATTTTTTTGTCGGAGATGAATAATTTAATGAGGTAACAATATGGAGATGTTTTGTCCTCCTTGCTTCTACTAGAATTTTAATAGGAAAATTTCTAGTTGCCACAGATATGGCTATTCCTTCAGAATCACTTACATTTAAAACACCAGAATATAAATTGTATGAGGTTAAGCTTTCACCCTGTTTAATATTTACAATATGTGGCACTGAATTTGGCCAAGCAACCACTTTATTCGACTGTACATATACATCAAAATTAATATCAGTTGGGTTGGATATTTTAATGTCTTGAACGAATATGGTTTGATGCGTTCTATGGGCATAATACTGAAAAGAAGCATATACTCCACCTTCATAACATTGAAATACGTGTACAATTCCAGTTAAATAATTAGTCACTATAGCTTCTTTATAGGTTGTCATATAATAATTTTGCAAAAAAAGTATTGGGTGTATAAGTGAATTTAATGATAAACTTCTTCCTTGTTTAATAAAAATTTGACTATTTTTATTAATTTCTATACCGAAAATCCCATTTCCAACATAAGCTACATAAGGTTTTTCTTCTTTCTCAACTGGCACATGCCTTATATTGACATTATATTCAAAACTTTCTGAATAAAAAGAAGTAAGTCTATCTTTTATACAAATATCAATTTCATTTCCAACTGTGTCAGGTGAACGATGAATTTCAAATTTTCTAAATAAAAATGGAATGATGTAAACGAAGATAACTAATAAAGCAATGATACCGAATGTGATTCGTCTATAACTTAAATAACTGTCAAAATTTCTTTTAAGTCTTCTGCCTACTTCAATTAAATCCATAGTAACCTAAGTATTTTTAAGCAGTCCATGAACGCTTATAAGTTGCTTTCTTATCATTCACCAATAATTATAAACAACGTTTTGCTACCGATCGAAGGCAACAGAACGACAGTACAACTGTTTGAAAATTTGCTACAGTTAATAAAATTCACAGATTGTCAATAATGTCATTTGAAAATTTTGCTTTTAAAATACGAGTTCGTTTTTGTTTGAGAGGACATCAATGAAAGTGCCGTGATTTATTTTATAATTTGTCGGTAAGTTTTTATTTTTAACATTATATTTTAACAATTAATGGTGTCGATTCAGGTGACTCTGTCTTAGAGATTAATATGCCGAGATTTTTTAATTGTGGATCGATCTCTGCATTTGCTATATATGAACAGGTGGCGTTTTAATTTGTAATATTTTAAAAAATTTAACTTTGCTTTTATTAAAAATTATTATGAAATGGCAAACGATACGGCTCACCATATTTTTTATGATATATATAAATGAAAAATTTTAATATACAGCGGACATTTGTAAATCATTGCTACCGCGTTAATTCGTTTCATGCAAATAATTTAATAAAATTAGGTACGCAATTTATTGCATTAAAACCAATAAATAATTTTTAATTATAATAAGAATTAGGTTTTGCAGGGTACATAGAATACATTTTTAACGATTTGCACATGTATGCATTTACTAAATCTAAGCATACATTATTTAAGGCATTTTCTTAATCTTATATGGTATTGAATTAACAATTGACAATAATACAGTCTTCCCTAAATGAAAACACAGTTTTTTATGTAATTTTTATTAGTGTTTGAGATGATTTAAAAATAGTTTTACTATTTAAGTAAAAACAATTTCCTTTTTATAGCATTATTGAAATTTTTCAAATTTAAAATAATTTTTATCGAATATCAAATAATTTCTTTAGGTACATATTCTCAATATGTTTCTTTCATATCATTTTTAGCCTAAATCGGTTAATTATGTACACAATGGGAAATTATTCGAAATCAAGAGCTTGCATTGAATTTTAATTGTTAATGAATTAAAGATAGATAAGAGATGAGTTTAATAAGTAATTTTTTATAAATGTTTAGTTTTTACTTATTTTAAAATAACTAATGAATCCAAACTCAAACAATATGCTTCCCTTATTTTCCACATTGAATTATTTAATGTTTGACGATTGGTTATCTTACCATTTCGATTTAATTTTGATTAATACAGTTTAATAATAATCTTAATTATGAAAAAAATTATTTCCATAATATAGAAATAGTACCTTGTAACATTTATTTAGAGATTATTTAAAAAAAAAAAAAAGAGAGAGAGAGAAAGAAATGTAAATTTTTAATGAAAAGGTCACATTATTCAAATTTGTCATACAAATGCTGTTACATAATATTATTTTATTTTTATTAATTTTTTCTATTGAATCCCAATCGAACAAATAATAATAATATTTTTTAAATAATATAGTAAATTATTAAAAAAAAAAAAAAAAAAAAAACTGTTTGTGTGTTTCAAAGCTGAAAATTTTAATTATTTTACAATATATACACACACAATTAAGTTTTATTAAAATAACAATAAAAAAAAAAAAAAAATGCTTAAGTCAACAGGCGGAGGAGATATAATTTAATCCTTTATCATTAACAGCGTTAAACTGAAATAATTAATCAGTGTCTTAATTAATTGATATAATGTGTTATTTATATATAAATTAATTAATTTCATTCAGTTTTTCTGAAACTTAAAACACAAACAAAGAGTTTTCAAAGGTTTGTTGATGATAAAAAAAAATTGAAAAAAATGGAAAAAAAAAAAAAAAAAAAAAAAGAAACCCCCATATAATATTTTCAAGTAATTCTAAAGATGATGATAATTGATAATAATGATGAGTGATGTAGTTATTTTTTATTTTTTTTTTTTTTTTGAAGAACTTAAAAAAAAACGAAACTTAAATAATTTATCCCGAAATACAAAGGGGAAAAAAAAAAATTAATTTGTTTCTTTTTGTTTTTTTTTTTTTTTTCGTTTGAATAATAATAATAAAAAAAAAATTTTTTTTAGTCACTTCGAAATTATTATTATTATTATTTATTCGTAATGGCTTTTTCCAAAAAGCCAGTAAAGAAATGTTATTTCTGTAACAAAAAAAAAAAAAAAAAAATATTTTTACTTTAAATTATTTGTTCTTTACTAGTTTAAATGAAATGAAAAAAAAAAAAAAAAAGTAGAAGTTAGTTTTTTTTTTTTTTTTTTTTTTTTAGACATTTTATTATATTTTTTCGTGTCGGGTTTAAGAATGACAAATTGTCAGCAATCGTTTTGAGTAAAAAAAAATTTTCTTCCCCTAAGAGAAAAGTTGAAAAAAAAAAAAAAATATCTTATTTCTTACCGTCTATCAACAATGATGATAAAATTTATTACGATATTTACTACCACTAGTTGAATCTATCGGATGCCGTTTATCTAACAACCCCTTTCTCTCCCTCATCATCATCATCATCATCATCATCATTATTTATATAACTAAAAATGTAGTTTGATATATATTTTTTTTTTCCCTTTCTTATTTACATAGACTTTTCGCAAAATTAATATCTCATTCGAATCGTACAAAAAAAAAAGTAATAATAATAATAATAATAATTTGATGTAGGTGATTTTCTAATAAGGTTTTCTCATAACCCTTCTCTCTCTCTCTCTCTCTCTCTCACAATGTAATAAAACGACGTGTAAACGATTATTTTAATTTTCAGTTTATTACGGTAATAAAATAGATGTAATACTTTATAATTATCTTTCGATTATTTCGATTTTTTGATTGAAAAACGACCTCCTTCCCCCCCCCCCCCAAAAAAAAAAAAAACGGTGGTTTTTACTTAAACGAAAATATTTTTTTATCTAATAGGGTAAATTTATTTCATTAAATTTTTCTCGGATTTTAAGTCGAAAAAAAAAAAAATAAAGAAAATTAGTTTTTAATTATTATTATTATTTGTTTTTCGAAAAAAAAGAATTAAATTTTTCATGGCAATTTTATTATTATTATTATTATTTTTTTTTTAATATTTATATAACAATATTACGTTTCTACGAATTAAAATAAATAACGAGGGTTTTTTAAATTAAAAAAAAATATTTGTTTAAAGATTATTTTTGTGCATATTTTTTTTTTTTTTATAAAATATATATGTATGTATTTTCGAAGAAGAACACAAGGGAAAAATACTTGTTAGGGGAGATGGTGAGGGAGAGGGGGTTAGGGGGAGAGGAATTTGACGTCACTAAAACGTCTTGCGCAAGTTCTGTCATTGAATTTTCCAATTGTAGTCGTGTCACCCTTTAGAAAATTTCACATGGTTTGTTTCGTGTTTTTCCTTACTGAAAAAGACTGTGTTCTCCCCCAAACATTAAAAGTTGTTTCGTGTTTTTTTTTTTTTTGTTTTGTTTTTTGGGGGGTTTTTGGTTCGTTTAATAAGTTGTGGGGCAAAAAAAATTAAGTGTGATCGTTTTTTGATTAAGGCATAAACAAATAAAATATGATGATGGTTTTTTTTTTCATTCCCCCCCCCCTTCTAAAATTCTGTTTTTTTTTTGTTTTTTTTTTGAAAACACTTTAGATTTTTAAAGGTAAAAAAAAAAAAAAAAAAAACACTTGATGCATTTATTTATTTATATTATTATTATTATTACTATTATTATTACAGTTAATTGTAGAGATAAAAGAGAGTAAAAACGTGAACGCTTTACTTTGTTTTGTTTTTTGTTTGTTTTTTTGTGTTTTTTGTGTTTTTTTTTTTTTTTCAGTAAACAGTCGGGTGGTTGTCGATTTAGAATTTTTGTATATTGTCTTTAATATTTGTTTTATGTGTTTTTTTTTTAAAGTAAAAAATTTTGTTGTGTCGTAAATAGGTGAGACTGTTGTGAGTAAAGGTGAGGGGTAATAGGGGAGACTAATGGCTTATAAACTTAAAGCAATTTGTTAAATTTCTAATTAAATTTACCTCATAAAAAAAAAAAATAAATAAAAAAATAAAAAACATAAACTTTGGTTTATAAACTCGTCTTATAAAAATAAAAAATTAAAAAACTTTTTTCTTTTTTTTTTTTTTTCTTCTCTTTAATTTTTAAGCGGTTTTAAATGATTAATTATATACGGGGCGTACTAGGGGGAGGGGGGAACAGGGCGGGGGATAAGTAGTAGTATGAGTAGTAGTAATAATGGGAGAGGGAAAGAAAGACATTGACATGACATTCGTTTAATTGGCATAGTAACGCATTTAAAATAATCATAACGAAACCGCCATCGTTCGGTCATGAAAAGAATCATCGATTTTTTTTACATTTATTTATTATTATTATTATTAATAATTTTCGTTAGAGTATAAAGTATTGCTTTTTGTAATTTTTCGTCTTAATTTTTTTTAAATTTATAAACAGAAAAGGGGTAAAAGATAAATTTTAGTGATTTGAAGGGTTTACCGGGGGGGTTTTA